CTGAGCGAGGTGCGGGAGCAACACCGAGGGTTGCGATCCCGTTGCCGGTCCCCGGTCCGGTACGGGGGCAACCCTGGGGGTTGTGATCCCTTGGCGGACATGGAAAAAGAAAAAAAAAAAAAAAAAAATCTATTTTTTTTTAAAATTAAAAGGTCTTCTTCAAATTAGCTTCTAAAACAGTAGTCTATACCTTTGTATATGTACACTATACCTCTCTATATGTATGTGCATATTTTCCAATATGGAATGAAAGAGCCATTTACATGAGGAAGTACCTGGGACCACAGTGCTACAAGCCTGATGAAACCCAAAGTGTTGGGGTCAACATCAAAACTGGTGTCCTGAAAGTCTCAGCCAAGACTGCCAGGTGGTGTCCAGCCAGGTGGTGAAGTGAGTGGTGGCCATTGGTAGCCCTGGGGAGGGACCCAGAGACTATGCAGCCCTGATGATCAATCTTTGGGGGGACTCCTCCAGGGGAACAGCCCGGTCCTCTTTCGCAAAGCTGACTGGAGGGTCTTTCTGATTCCACACACTACACTGGTTCTGCAAGACCAGAAAGGGACCAAATGGAAAATAAGATGGCACAGGCAGCTCTGTTCAAAGGACCTGATTGTGTGCCAAAAATAAGAAGCAAGGTTTATCAGTGACTCCCTTGGCAGAGATGCTGGTACACTGGCCAGGGTGAGTAGTGACGGCCTGAATCTGTGCTGCCATCACCTCCCCGCGGCCACTGCTGTCCTGGGCACTTGGCACCACTGTGCAGTTCACCTGGCTTCTGCCCAGGGCTTTTCCAGAGGAGCCCAGGGGGGACACTCGGAAAGGGAGGAGTGAGGGACCATCTTGGCAGAGGCCCTGGCAGCTGCTCCTCCATGGCACTTATCGTTCAAAGGCTCTGGAGGCCTGAGAGGCCAAAGCTCCCCTGATTGAACATAGGTGGGAGATTCTTGGAGCAATGATGGTTGCTACAGAAGGATTTGCCAGGAATAAAAAAAGGTGGCTTTAGTCCATACATTAGTAGACTGGTATAAGAAGTTTTAGCCAGTCTATGGTATGGGAAAAATTCCCAACAGGAACATACTTTGTATGGTTTTGCCTCTTGAACAAATGTTTGTAAAAGCCTATATGTGTTTTCAATGGCTTTAGGTATTTTAGGGTGTGGAATGGATTTCCAGGGTGGGAGCCCCGACATACACGGATATGTAGGAGATGCGGGCTGGCCTGCCTCCACTGCGCGGGGACCAGCTAGGATGAGGGGCGCCTTTGTTCAAATGCTCCCTCTTATCTCTCCTCTTTGTATTCTGTTACACTTGGGTTAAAAAAATCCACATTATTATTAAACACTTGTGACTTGAAAACAACTCAATTTTTAAAAATTCCCGTGGCTCCTCCTCAGAGGAGATTGTGTCAGCCACCTCCCCATGCTGCGCTGCCAGGTGCTGGGAGCCTTTGTTTTTGACTTCCTCCTTTTCTCTCAGCTGACCTTTCAGAGGTTTTAGATAGAGGGAAACAAAATGAGACTGGAGCCAAGAAGCCTAGGGCCAGGCATGCAGAGAAGGAGGCAGTCCTGGTTTTCCTTTTTCTTCTCACCTCCTTCTGTGCACTTGCGGTCCAGGTCCCAGCGCCTATGCCTGGTGCTAGAGGCTCTCCACCATCTGGTGCGACTTAGAACTTGAATCTGCAGTCCTCTAGTGAGGCCCAGCACTCTTTTGTTGTCCACTCTTGCTTTGTGTCATCTGGCATCTGCTCAGGCCGTGCCCATTGCCATTTGCCCAGCCTCAGCCACTCCCCAACTCCTAAGGTCCTACCCTGTTCTCTGCTTCTCCACCTACCAGTCCTCACAAGCATTCCCCGACTGCTTCAGCCCACACTCTGGGTTTGCCATAACTTCTCCACTAGCATGTAATCTCTCTGAGGAACAATTGTCATCTATTTTGCTATCCATTTTCTCCCAGAATGGTGCCTCATACACAGTAGGAACTCTTTTTTTTGAATGAATGAATGAGAATGCTGTGTAGTATCCTTGAGTTCTTTCAGGTGCATATCTTATGTACGTATCTGAACACCACGCAGGGCTTCTTGAGCGAGGGGCCGTGTTTTATGTCTCATGCGTACTCAGTACAGTGCTGGGCTGGCTGGTCCATCCAGGCTTCTTATTGGAAATATGGGCAGACTTAGGAACTCGTGTATGGAGAGGTTGGAGGCTAGTCCTAGCTTCTTTTCCTAAAAGTTTTGCAGTGAAATATACGGATATTTGGTTGGAAACCCCATGACACTCTTCTCCTTATGCTCACTCTGCTTTCCCAAAAGCCTCCCGTTTTTTTTTAGTTTTTAACAATCCTGGTAATCACGTTTTCACCACAATGAGCTTTTTAATTTCCTTTAATAATAAGCCAGTGCTTCCTTCAGAGGGCAAAAGAGGAGACTGCTGAGTCATCGTGGCCATTGTTAGATGAATGTTTTCCTGTTTATGATAAAGTAATACATGCTGATTGCAGAAAACTAGAAACATATGTGAAAGCGTAAAGACTAAAAAACTTCTGTAACTTCAGGTGTAGAAATAGCCACTCCTTCTATAATGTTGTTTTATATAGTTTAGAGCACATGAATATATATGCTTGTATTCCACTTTGTGAACATCATTATATCATGAACATTTCCCCATGTCACTAAAAATGTTTCCTAAAT